ATCTGATTTGCGGGAAGCAGGGGAGGGGGAGGAGCAGGTGGGCGGAGCATTCAGGGAAGGGGAGGAGGGGGAAGACAGCTGCGGGCCGGAGAGCGTGGTACGGCTGCCGGGGATGGGGGGAGCTGGGAAGGGGCTTTGGGTGCCCAGCAGCACTTGGCCGCTGCTTTTCTATCTATAAATAGCCGACCGGGGGGAAATCCCGGACATTTTTAGATTTTTAAAAATCCCCCCCGGACGGCTATTTATAGACCGAAAAGCCGGACATGTCTGGGGAAATCTGGACATATGGTAGCCCTAGACAATTATAACATTTTCAGATGCATTCAACTAATTTTGGCTGCCCAAACTGAAACACCTGATTTTCTGAGGACTCACAGCTACCACTGGAGCAGAAGAAGGTGCAACATACTATAACCCAGGGGTTGGCAACCTGCGGCATGCGTGCCAAAGATAGCACGCAAGCTGATTTTTAATGGCACGCTGCCGCCTGCCGGGGTCCCGGCCCCACTCATCACCCCCCCCCCCGCCCACCGTTCTCTCCTGCGGGGGCAGGAGGCAGAAGCTTGGTCTTGCCGGCAGCCAAGCTTCCCCCTCCCCCACTTCTTCCCCCAGCATGGTGCTTTCCTGCCCCTCCCCTTCCCTCTCCCTGCCGCCGATCAGCTGATCGCCCTTGCAAGGGGGAGGGAGAGCAGAGCCACAGCGTGCTCACTGCTCCGGGGAGGAGGCAGAGAAGAGGTGGGGACGGGGCCCTGGGAGAAGAGGTGGGGACAGGGCATATCCCCTCCAGCCCTCTGCCCTGACCCCCTGAAACCTCACACACACACACACAGCCTTCTGCCCTGACCCCTGCACCCTCCCCACACACCCAGCCCTCTGCCCTGACCCCTGCACCCCCTCACATACCTCCAGCCCCCATTCTGACTCCTGCACCCCCACACATACCCAGCCCCCCCACATCCCATGCCCTGACTCTTGCACACACACCCACATCCCCACCCACACCCTGAGCACCAAACGGGAGCTCCTGCACCCCCACACACACATTCCCAACTGCACCCCCGTCTGGGGTCCCAGTCATCGGCCCCGCTCAGCCCGTTGCTGGTCTGGGGTCCCAGCTGCCAGCTCTTTGCCAGCCGGGGTCCTGCAGGCCCCGCTCAGCCCGCTGCCGAATTAAGTGAATGGAACCCCAGGCCGGCAGTGGGCTGAGTGGGCTGGCGGCGTAAGATCAGCATTTTAATTTAATTTTAAATGAAGCTTCTTAAATATTTTGAAAACCTTGTTTACTTTACATACAACAATAGTTTAGTTATATAATATAGACGTATAGAGAGAGACCTTCTAAAAAATGTTAAAATGTATTACCGGCACGTGAAACCTTAAGTTAAAGTGAATAAGTGAAGACTCAGCACACCACTTCTGAAAGGTTGCCGACCCCTGCTATAACCTCTCTTCTTTAGCTAGCCAACTCCATAGGCCAGCGTAAAGAGAGGAGCAGAGCCATAGCCCCCATCTCCTCCCCACCTTCTTTGGAGTGACTAGAATGCCTCGGATGCCAACAGGAAGCAGTCCCTGAACTCAGAAGAGAGCAATTGGGCCTAGCTCTTGCATGGGGATGCAAGGGGGGGGAAAGACCACTTCCCCCTTCTGCACCTCTGAAAGGGTGAAAGCAGAAGAGGGTCCTTTGTGTGACTAAGGGAATGTCAACACAGCAAAAGCTGTGCATGGGCTAGCCCATCTGAGCTAGCTCAGGCTTCAGAACTAGTAGTACAAGCCCAGCATGGACCTTAGGTTCTTGGCTTGTTAGCTTGCTCTGAAGCTCTCACTCTGCTGACTTGACTGCTATTACCCACACTAGCTGGATTGAAGCTTGCTCAGGTAGACTAGACAGAACTTTTGCTGTGTAGACATACCCTAACTATAACAGAAACAATGCAAAACCTATTTTCTGTCCCTACCATCTACATTAAAACTGACCAGTATTAGGCTTCCCAGTTAGGGTCTCAGACAACCAGCCCCTTCACGTGGATTGAAAGAATATCCCACTTACTGAACATAAGAACATAAGAATGGCCATACTGGGTCAGACCAAAGGTCCATCTAGCCCAGTATCCTGTCTACCGACAGTGGCCAATGCCAGGTGCCCCAGAGGGAGTGGACCAACAAGCAATGATCAAGTGATCTCTCTCCTGCCATCCATCTCCACCCTCTGACCAGCAGCGGCGAGGGACACCATTCCTTACCCATCCTGGCTAATAGCCATTAATGGACTTAACCACCATGAATTTATCTAGTTCTCTTTTGTACTCTGACTCAGCCCCTTTCCCTGGGCCACTAGATCTGTGCCTAAACTCTATGTCTCTCACCCCTGCAGACAAGGAGAAAGCCCAGAAGTTGAAGGACAGCAATGAAGAGCCACTTATGGAAAAGATGAGATCTAAACCATACCAATCACTGTTGCATATAGCATATTGGAATTACACACACTGGATTGGCTTGTGCTGTCAATTTTTAATCCAAACTCCCCACAGAAATCAATGAGGTGTTCTGCATAGAGAGTATAGTCCAGTAAATACACTGGGCAAAGAAGTGCTAACCAGGGATTATAAAACCATATGGATTAATCATAATAGCAGGCATTCTTCCTAAATGACATGTTTTCTAGTAACTGAAGCACACTTTTAATGAAAGGTTACCCACTGAGTGATTTATGACTTGTTTCCCTATATAACGAAAGGTGATTTATTCC